CAATTCCTGGTTTGTACGCACTGTTTTGTACTTCCGCCCCAAACAAACACCAAAGGCAACGAGAACACATCAACATCATCAACACCCCCCCCTCCTACAGCACATTTGTTTGCCTACCCTCAGTACTGTAATTAAACAGCTCACAATATCATCTAGCTTCTGTTCTTCTCTAAGCCTGTTAGGAGGAGTGGGGGGGGGGGGGTGAGGTGGGGGGGCACATGGAGCTGAAGAAATTAAAGGCTGATAAGGTTAGAACGAGTTCAGAGGAGAAAGTTGTTTGCCAGAGGATGAAAGCGAAGAATGTCACAGAGTAATCCCTGCTCCTCACTGTCAGTCTGCTCGCAGCTGAAACACCTCCTTACCAACATCTCGTTAGTGGAGTCTCAGTGCGACACCCCGGCAGCAGTTGGCAGGAGAATGATATTTTTTTTGTTGCTTTAAAGAAAGAATACACTCTGTTTCTATTTGTATTTGCTGTCCAAATTGAGTTTAAGGCTTTTAGTTTTTCTTAAATCTTGACATCCAGTTCTTTGATCACTCGGCGGCGTTGCTGTGGTGCAGTGTTCCCCCGGAACGTCTCCCCAACACGCTGTGATTGGTCAGAGAGATTTGAGTTGATTGAAGTTCTGTTTCTGAAGAACGCTGTAAATATAATCAACTAAAAACCCTTTAAAAGTCCGAGCAACTTTAATGTAGAGGGACTGGTGGATGTAAAAAACGTTGCAGACAGCGAGGTTAAGATGCGGGATAATGTCTGGAGTAGGCGTGGGCGGGAAAGCTTCCCAGCATGCACCGGGGCAGGAAATTCTTCAAATTTGATCTGAAATGAGCATAAAAATGATTTAAGCACAAAACTGTACATGGTTGACAAATATGGACCCGCACACGATCAGATCATTGATCTAAAAATGAAGCAACAGGTCAGCAGGGTTCAGACGGGTTCTTTGTCTTCTGTCCTCTCCATCAATTTATATTTTCCTGCATGTACTTTCTCCTCGAGGTCACACGGTTCGCTTTTTGCAGAGGCACATTTCCATTTTCGGGATCATCTAGTCATCTCCGTCTGCGGTCTCTCACATGGAGCTAGTTACCATCCACTCAAAGCAAATAAGAAGAGACGCAGGTGTACACAGGCCCTTGACTCAGAAAGCCCATTAGTGCACAGAACACAGATTACAAAGCTGACTGGGCAGGAGCCGGACCTGGACCGGAGAGCAGAGGAAGCAGACCTAATCTGCCCGCTAACAGATGGCTCCCCCAGATCACACGCGGCCACCCGCCTGCCAGCGACGTTGGAATGGAGTAGCCGCCCATGGCGAGGTTGGGGAGGGCGCACAGACGGAGGAGGAGATGATTGTTATCGAATATGAAATGTCAATCATTTGGAATGAGCACACTGTTCAGGTTGAACGAGGCCCAAAGGATTGATTCTCTCATCTGCGAGATAAACGCAGGTTCTTTTCAAGATGTTCAGGTTTGCCCTCATCACTGGATGAAGACTTGTGGAGCTCGTCCTGTTGCTGTGTCTTGATTTATTTACCGCCAGGGAAAAAATTAAACTTACTGTCCCCTGGAAACACACACGTTGTTTGTAAGGACTGAATTTGCGGCGCGTTTGTGTCTTTGCATGTGTTTTCTTCAACAGAAATAAATGACCTATGAACTATGCCCTTGGATTTGTTTTGGGTTTCCTCACACCCCCGCACAATAAGGATATATACTGATATATATTGATACTGATTCAGGACGTCCTTAATTTTATACATTGTTAAATGCATTTTTTTATATGTGGTTTCAAGTACATCACTGCTAAAAAAAAAAATGTAGTTACAGTATCATTTGTTTCTTTGGTGAATTAGTTTGACGGACTTAACAGTTTGACAAAACAATCTAAACTCCAGCCTCATAAAAAATGTATTTAAAATTGTTGGGTTGTTTTTTTTTTCTAATTCAGTGATAATTGCGACGTCCATATTTTTTTTTCCAGAGGACTGTGAAATTCAAACCCTGCTCCTTTTTTTTTTTATGATGAATTAGCAAACACGCGGCAAATGATTGAAAACCAGCATGTACGCATTTTTGTTATTAAAATCGTCATTGTGCCGCCGTATCTCCGCCCTGAATCACAGCGTCTGAAACCGGCCAGTCTGCCTCAGCCTGCCGCAGACTCTAATCCCCGCTGCTGCCGCTAACTCCGGCCCAGCTGAGCGGCATCCTCACGGCTCAGCACATTACACTCTGAGGGCACTCGCTTGGAGGAGCTGCTGCTGAATGTGTGTGTGTGTGTGTGTGTGTGTGTGTGTGTGTGTGTGTGTGATGCTCATTAATGCCCTTGGAAAGAGAGAGAGGGATGGAGCTGCTTCTGTAGCTCTTGCCGGTGTGTAGGTGTGTACCTCTGTGACAGCAGCTGAACGCATCACGATACTCATTCGTGGTGAGTTCAGGGCAATTATGTTAAATGGATGTCGCTGCCAAAGGGCAAGCGGTAAAAAAAGGAGAACTTGCCACAGGTTGTGACTCACGGTTTTCATTTCTGCAGAACTCGCTGCTCTTCTCTCGACACACGGACGAGATGTTTGTCTCGTAAACAGTGTCGTAGACCAGCGTTTAATTACTCTCTCACAGTGTGACGATGAGAGCGTCGGAGAGATGTTTCCCTCATGAACCTCCCCTCACTCTGTGATTGTCTGCGCTGGTCTCTGAGCGCACGATGTGGCAGCTTTCACATGAATTGAAATAACTTGCTTTTCACGAGTTTTTGGACGCCATTCAAGACTTCCTGTGTTTCCTGTGCCGGTGCCACTTTTCTCCTCGGCTCTGTTTCCCTATTCAACATCTTTCCCTTTGAGATAAATGACGGCGGTGAAAGACACAATCCAAACACGCATGTTATCCTGCTGCCACTCACTCTGCGGTACCTTTGCTCTTCTCCTCCCTTCATCTCCTCCGTGTCTCTCCTGGCTGTCTCCTCCTGCGATCTGCAAAATCTTCCTTGTTTTTCACTCCATCTGCCAACACCTGAAGTCTCTCTATCATTGTGTACCCATACAAAAAAAAAACAAAACCTTCCTTTCCAGAATCCGTCTGCACATATTCCACATGCGGTTCGGCACGACACTCTCACACGGCGCAGTGTGGATGAAAGATGTTGGAATGATTTGCATTTTATTTTGAAATTTAAACATGTTTCATTTGAAGCAACAATGAGAGACAATTGCAGTGAATAACCAACAGAGCACTTTGTCTCCTCGCAGTACGTCTGTCCAGAATCACGTTTGTGAATATACCAGGGAGGAGCAACTACAGCAGAGAAATTCTCAGAAAAACCTGACCCAAACTCACACTTTGCTAGAGTTCATGGTGAAGTTTGCCGAGGCCAGACAATCAAACAAGGTCTGGACGCGCTTCAGATGCTCTCGGCAAGTATCAATATACACCGATACATCATCCAAACACACAGCACAACCCTTCCAACCCGGGAAAACAACTGGGTTCAATCGGCGCTGGAAGGTCGGCGGCAGGAGCATTTCTCAAACCAAACAGCCTGACCGTGCAGGACTGCAGTCCTGGACGCTGTGATAAGAGAAGTGATGTCTCTGGCGTGAGGTGTCAGAGGTACCAGTGACCTTTAAGGAGATCGAATTTGCTCACAAATGATGCTGAATCAACCTGATCTACATGATCCTGCATCCAAGGAAGTGGATAACTGTCTGGCTTGGACATGGCATTAACCCTTGAGGTTCCATCAGGTTCACCGTCCCGACAAGGTGAGGCCCAGCTGCAATACGAGGCTTCTGCAACTCCGTGTCCCAGCATATACTTCACCTCCGACTCAACGGAGGTGCTGCAGGACGGAAAAGCAGCAGCATAAGAGCGGGATATTAGTGGACGCAGCTGCTTCATTGACTCGTGTCCTACCAACAAGTCGGGCTAACCCAGATACTGTTCCTCCCAAAACGAAACAACCGTGTCACTGTGCTGTGACACGGCTGAGTACGCTTCTTCCTATCTGGGGTGGAAGTTACATAATCCCGGTCTGACAATTTGCATTTCACAGAGTAAAGTCCCACGAATTTAGTCTGTAGAGGTGAGATAAGCAAAAGGCAAAAAGGGCGAACACTTGATCAGCAGGGCGTTCAGACAGCAGCAAAGAGCCAATGTTTAAACCTATTAACATAATCCAACAAGTCGACAGGGGGTCAGGAGGCGCCCAGTCCTCCTGTAACACTGCCAGTGGACCTCAAACATGGCGACTAAAAACCAAGTCATTTGGGCTGAAACCAGCTCTGGGTTGGATTAACTTCCCCGGCAGCCAACAACAACCCGTTAACTGACACGTCTGAATGGTGGATGTGTTTTCATTTAATTGAATTTATTTATTTATTTCACACAAATAAAGAAATAAAGAATAAAACACAAGCATACAAACATAATACTAGTAGTGAGTGAAAATGGGACACGCTAATAAGCTTCTAGATTTGTATGTAATTCCTTTATTGGTTGCAATTTGTTAACTTAAATGTGCTAATGATGTAGAATTGTCATCCTGACAATAAACTAATATATAGTTTACAACCCACCCACAGCTCTGCTCTTCATCTGTTACAATGATCCTCTGTCCTTCATTAAGCAGTTTGACTAATATCAAAACATAAATCACTGACGGGCGATTTTCACCGAGCTGCAGCGATTGGCTGTTGCTCCTGCCATTCATCGTTATGTTATTTAACTTCCATTAAACTGTCACAGGTGTTACAGCAGCGTGTGGCGAGTGTATAATTTGATCAAACGAGTGGATCCTGAAATGTATTCTATTACAAGTAAGTGTATTATAATGTGTCAGTACTAGACGGTGTGAATGACTGTGAATTGAGACTCGTTTAGCTCTGAAAAATCTATTGCACTTGCACTTTGTTGTGAAAGAGGGTTTGATTTTCAGCTCAAACAGTGATATTCGCTGCCCAGCTGTTTGACCTCGTCCCTCTTCTCTATTCGCTCAGGTATGCGTATCCTGGTGACGCTGCTGCTGGACACGCTGCCCATGCTGGGCAACGTGCTGCTGCTCTGCTTCTTCGTCTTCTTCATATTCGGCATCGTGGGCGTCCAGCTGTGGGCCGGTCTGCTCAGGAACCGCTGCTTCGTGGAGGACAACATCTCGCTGTGAGTGACGCTTTTAACAACATTGATATGTTATCTGTCTATTTTTTATTGTTTTTGTTTGTTCATTTATTCGATCAGGACAATGCAATTTAACGTAGTTTCAAAGAGTTTACAGCTGTTGCTAATTCTCCAGTCCTGTCGCTAGTTGGGCAAAAACAACACAAAACAGACAACACAACTGATAATATCCTACAATTAGGTGTTGACAGAAAAGCCCAGATATCTCACAACTTCCAGACATCCCAGACGGAGGAGTGTACCATAACAGATATCCTAAGAGGTGGTGTAGTCGGCATATACACTTGTCCATCCAACTCACACAATAAACACAGGGCTCTGCTCAGCCATTTGGCCCCAGGTCTGTCAACACAATTACAGCTGGCTCATCTGATTAGTTCTATCTGTTTGAAGGAGTGTTAATTAGTGCAATCAGCTGCTGCGTGGGATTAAAACCCACAGACTTTGGGGCTTCAACGTTGATCTGTTTGAAATTCTACCAGAATTAAAAAGTATAAAAGTAAAGTTAAAAGTGTGACAAAGACAAAAGCTAAAGCCGCACTGAAACGGTGATGGGCTTGATAGCTTTCAGTGGCTAATGTTAGCAAGCTTTAGATAAATGTGATAAAAGGGAGGAGATCGCACGTGATTCTAGAGAATGATGGGAACTGAAGTGTGCCATTATCCTGCTGCAGTTCAAATCAAAGGTTACCTAGTCTTACTTTAAGGGAAGTGTATTCGACACTTCCTGTAAGATGCTGTATATTAAGAGTTGACTGACTGAGTTGCTGACTTTTTCAAAAGGTTTGTCAACTTCCAGAACACAACACATCGGAAAAAAAAACCCAGTAACCCCTGCGATGTTGTGTCTTCTTCCTCCCCCAAGACCTTCGTTTGTGAAGTTTGAGAAGTTGCACGATTACTACCACACTGAAAACGACGACGAGAGCCCCTTCATCTGCTCTCAGCGCCGAGACAACGGCATGAGGGACTGCAGCTCGGTGCCCAAGCTGTACGAGGGAGGCCTGCAGTGCGACTTGGACATGGACTCTTACAACAGCACCGACAACACCACTTGCGTCAACTGGAACCAGTACTACACCAAGTGCTCTGATGGTCCCTACAATCCTTTCAAGGGAGCCATCAACTTTGACAACATCTGCTACGCCTGGATTGCCATCTTTCAGGTGAGACGGCTTCAGGAGAGTAAGACGGATTGAATGAACCGACACAGACAGAATGGACAAGTTGGCCCAGTGGCCAGTGTGTCAGAGGGAAAAAGGGGCCTGCAGGATTAGAAAGTTACACTGCAGTCTCAGTTTTACGCACCATTTGTTTGCTATCCCCAGATCATATGACAAGCCTTTTGTTGGAGTGTTCATTCATCACTCTCTAGCTGAGGGGGGGGGGGACAAAAGCCAGATTGGAGACGAGTTCTCCCATCAGTCTGGCTGCTGCTCGGGTTCGACTGCGTGGGGATTATTCTTCTGCTGAGTCTTTGTGTTTGGAACTCTGGACTATGAAATATGATTTCTTTTTAATGTGTGTTTCTAATTCTACTCTTCCTTTTCTTCCCTCTCTTCGTTTCTCCTCAGGTGATCACCCTGGAGGGCTGGGTGGACATCATGTATTTTGTGATGGATGCTCACTCCTTCTACAACTTCATCTACTTCATCCTTCTCATCATTGTAAGTGCGGCTTCGTGGCGCCACCAGCTGCGTGCTGATGGTTGAGCAAGTGGGTCAGTCGGAGGTCAGGTGTGTGAGCGTCCGTTCTGAGTGTGTGAATAACAGTGTCGTCTACCCCTCCTTGTTCCTCAGATCGGCTCGTTCTTCATGATCAACCTGTGCCTGGTGGTCATCGCCACTCAGTTCTCGGAGACCAAGCAGCGGGAGAGCCAGCTGATGAAGGAGCAGCGGGTGCGCTTCATGTCCAACGCCAGCACTCTGGCCTCCCTCTCCGAGCCGGGCTCCTGCTATGATGAGCTCCTCAAGTACCTGGTTCACATCATCCGCAAGGGGGCCAAACAAGTGGTCCATATCTGCAGGCTCTTGGCTCGTCGTGCCGGGCTCAACGTTGCCGCCTCGCCGCCGGCCACGGAGCCCCAACGTAGCCAGAGCCAGAGGAGGAGGAGGAAGTCCTCCAGGCAGGGATCAGTGTCAGTTCATCACATGGTGCACCATCATCACCACCACCACTACCACCTGGGAAATGGCAGCGTGAGGGGAGGAGGGAGCGTCCGGTGTGTGGAGGGTAGGGATGTGGAGGCTGGTGCTCATAACAACAACGGAGGGGGTCTTATAGCGACAACTGGCGCCGGGCATCTCACTTTGGCGTTACCCTCGTCCGTCACAGCGGCCACCTCCGATTCAAACCTTGCCGCTTTGTCCAGTCCGACAGCAGGAGCTGCTGATTCCGCCTCAGTTCACAGTGTATTCAACGCGGAGACTCTTTGCTGTACCCCCTCGCCCGCATGCATGGCGCCGACTCCGAGCTCCTTCTCCCTGGCCCCGGCTCCTGCGTCCAGGGCCATTAAGAGGAACTCGGTGCCCTTTGCTGCTCCAAGTCCTAAAAACTATCCCACTCTGCAGGCCCGAGTCCTCGCAGAGTCCAGACGAGGGAGTGTTGCAGCCAGCACTCTGACTAACATCAACTTCAACCTCAACATCCCACCCGTGTCCCTGGAGAGACGGCCATCCAGCCTGGTGGACACATACACCCCCACAGGTAGACAGCTCACATAGGATAAAAGATTTACGTGATTATAATGGATGACCAAGGCCTCAGGGTCACCAGAGGTCAGTTACAAACCGCCTCCACGTCTGAAATGAAACCTTGGTGTATTTAGATTTCATGCTGAAACTTTTATGCCTTAGTCATAAAATGCACAATTGGTTTTTTCTATCTGCCCCACTTTAAGAAAGAAACTGGAAGCCATCATGGGGTTTGGGAAACCACAAAGAGTATCTGATTCACTCAGAATAAGTGTTTCATTTCCACATCAGAGTAAATCAAGCGACATACAACGGGAGTGGTCTTTTTGTTCTGTAATCACCTATTTGCCGGAGCACAGAATCTCGATTTCTCGTGATTAAGCTTCAAATTATTCCACAGTTCAGGGTGGGAGACGGAAAGAAGGCTAATTCCAGTTGATAAATGTTAATCCCTCATGTCTGAGCGCGCGGCCAGCTTTGTCTGCCTGTGGCCAAGCTCTGAAAACCGCTGGGCTCAACTGAAGTCAGGCCAGGTCCGTTCAGGTTGCACAGACAGCGGAGCAGTGGCTGCCGGCCAGACAGGTCACAGCACAGTCATTACTCATACAGCACACGCTGTCCATCACCGTCCAACACACTCCCTCTGACAAACACGCAACGGTCCAAAAAGGTTGTTGTTCACAACTGATCTCTTTCATTGGATTTGATTGTTTGTCTAAAGCACTTTTTCACTTCGGTTTCTGCATCTGATCATTCTCACTCCTCTGCAGCCCAGCTCTCCTGCCAGCTGTCGGCGCGTGACCTCAGCACCACCAGCAGCGCCATGGACACGGCCGCTTTGACATTGGACCCGGAGAGCTGCCCCTACTGCGCCAAGGCCCTCGCCAATGAATCAGAGGGCGGCACCGAGTGCAACGAGACGCCCGGCGATTCCGACAGCGAGGGCGTATACGAGTTCACGCAGGACCTCCACCGCAGGGACAGGAGGGACAGCCGGCAGCCCAAAAAGAAGCACCGCAGGCTGGGCAAAACGGCGGCAAAGGTGGTTCACTTCTGGAGGCTGGTGTGCGACACGTTCAGGAAGATCGTGGACAGCAAGTACTTCGGTCGGGGGATTATGATCGCCATCCTGATCAACACTCTGAGCATGGGGATCGAGTACCATGAGCAGGTTCGTGTGCATGTGCGTCCTCATTGAGAAAAGTGTGAGTGTGTAAAGTTGAATGCAGCTGTCACATGATGCCGCGGAGAGAGTGGCAAAGCTGAATGACCACGCAAAAGTTCAAAGCGGGAAATATCAACTGATGCCAGAAAAAAAAAAAAAAAAAAAAATCGCAACTTATAGATCCTCAGTGGACGTCCGTGTCGTTCTGTGTGATTGTGTAAGCTACACTGCTCCCAACAGGCCCAACTGGAATTCCTGATGTCTCTCGCTGGTCTCTTTTGTTTACACAAGCGTAATTACAGCCAGAGAGAGAGAGAGAGAGAGAGAGAGAGAGAGAGAGACAGAGGAAACAGAGAGAGACAGGGGTGATTTAACGGGCGAGGAAGGCCCCACAACATCTGACAGAGATTTTCTCTCTTTCTTTCACTCTCAGACTTGTTTTTTTTTACTCCTGGGTTTCTTTCTTCTTTGACCACATTTACACCTGATATCAACTGTATCAGGATACTGTGTCTGGATTAGGAAAAAAAAAAGAAGGTACAAACGCATACGGAGCACGCTGGGATCAGACTGCCGCTGGTACAGCGAGAAACACATCTGGAGGTCGTTCTGACGCTCGTTGTGATTAGATTTCACCAGCGCGTGAATGCAACCTGTACGCACAGCAGTTTGGAAGATCACTGAACCCCGGCTCTCCCCTGCTATCTTAAGAATAAAAGTAAAGTCCACACAGCAGCATTTGTTTCATGTGGGATTCCACCAGCTCCGCCCACCACTGTGCATAATCCAGACACGGGCAGAACTGAAATAAGAAAATGCATATCAATCCATTTCTACATTATTTCTTCGGGTACCTGCAGATAAGATCATACCCACTTGTTTTATATCACAACAATCACAACAATCTCAGCTCAGATATTTTGGCCCCAAGTGCTGAAAAATTGAAGCCCAGCTCTTTGAAAACTTACCTCACTGATGCAGATGAGTTGTACCAAAGTCTCAGGTTCATTAAAATAATGCGACATGTGAGTGAAATAGTGGGTAAATGCACGTGTTATTAAGTTATATAACACGAGTAAAGTAAGTGACACAAGTGTGTGTGTGTGTGTGTGTGTGTGTGTGTGTGTGTGTGTGATTGAAGCCTGGCCAGGTTTTATGGGGTTTCGATCTCTGACCCAGTGCCTGTAAACATATCCAGATGCCAAACATCCTCAGCACACACATACACACTTACATACACGCACACGCACACACACACACACACACTTTTTTTTTCAATCCTTTTTGTTGTGGTTTTGTTCCTTCTCTTCCTGTGTTTCCTCTTTCCTCCGACTCTTTTCCTTTTTCCCTCCTCTTCACTCTCTTTTCACCTTCACCTCCACCACCTCCCTCCTCTCCTCTCTGTCTTCTTCTTGTCTTCTCTCTGGAGTGCTCTCTCCTTGTTTGGGTAACATGGATCCCTCCAGTCTCCAGACCGGCTGCTGAAAACTTCACAGAGACACTTCATTGATTGGAAGCCCATCAACCAATAAACACAAGCACCAGTAAGCCTCTGTTTGTCTCAGTAACTCCACCCGGAGAAGAGGCTGGGTCCTGCCATGTTTCCTGCTGGATTTGTTTGCACAGTGTGTTCCCTAATTACTAATTACTGTCATCCTTGTATTTAAATAAACACATATTGTGCTCATTTAAGTTGATTTGATGCAACCTGCCGTTCAGACGGAGCTATATGCAGATGTGTGGAAAGCTGGCAAGTTCGCAAAAGGTTTGACTGGGTGTTTTTGACTCATTTAAACGCAGTGTGTTTTCTGTGGGTCTGCTGAACAGCATCGACTGAGCTGCCTTGCGATCCAATGCTATGAGGAGTTTTGGTTTGGAGCGAAGGGGGATTAGCTAAAGGTGACGCTGAGTGCTTTAAAAATGATGGTTCCCTGAGCAAGTCCTCGCTTGTGTGAAGGAGGGTGTAAAGGTCTGGTTTGCGTATAATCATTCAAATGAACGGTGTCAAAATATTCTGCTTTAGGACTCAAGAGGTATAATGGTGATTGTAGATTAAAATGTTCTTCTATAACTCTTCATTAAAATCCAATAGCAAAGAAATGTCTTTGCCTGACAGACTGTAGATCAACGGGGGTCCGTTGGGATCCTGAGCCGAATAAAACCAGGAACCTCTGACTCAGCAGGTCCACCTTCTTTCCTTCTTCTTCTGTTTGCATTCTCTGCTCTCGAACCAAATCTGAATACCAAAGGTGCGCCCCACCTCCGTAACGTCCTCATGCAGAGAGTTAGCCCTCGGTGGCTAATACAACACGTCCTGCAGCTGCCTCATAGTAAGAGCCTTCTAACACTTCACAGCAGTGAAGGTATTTTATAATCTCATTCCAGGTGTTTCACTGCCGCACAAATTAAATTTAAGGTATTGATTCTAATTATCTCAGGGACCGAAACGCTGCTGGGAATGTGCTGAGATCTAATGAGGGGGGAGGAGCTGATCCTGGAGGGCTTTTATTATGTATGCAGATGTACAGAGAGATGCTTTTGGGAGCACATTACATAAAGAATGCAAAGAGCATTTAGAGGTAGCCTGCATCACAGGTACGATAAATCAGTGATCCATTAGGTGATATCCTCCCCTGCGCTCTATCCCTGCGTTCCCTCTCTCCCTCTCTCTCTCTCTCTCTCTCTCTTCACCGTCTAATAATAAATGCCCAAAAGAATAACTTAAAAAAAAAAAAAGAATATGACCCCAGTGTAAGATCAAAAACTTTTTGCCAGTATCAGAGTTTAAACATTCACTGTGGCATCTGCCCAGGAGATCGATCTCCGATGCCACTGTCTTTAACACAACCCCTGATAGATGGAGGTAAAACTTTCCGTTTATCATCTGCTGAATCTGAGTCAAAGTTTGTGTTTGGGGAAAACTGTGCCTTTAAGAAATTGCAGCTCTGTTGAGTATGACAGCGTATCGATCAAGCTGACCTGTTTTTCAGCTTTTTCCCCCCCACCCCACTGTTCTGTAAACGGATGATACACACACGCACACGCACACACACACACACACACACACACACACACACGAGAACAGTAGATCTGGTATTTTGCACCATTGCGCCACAGATCAGGTTTTTCTGAGAGTTCAGTCTCAAGAGGAATTGCCCCGGAGAGACTAACACATGTCGACCTGTGTGGTTGTTTAGGTTGGAGGACTTGGTCATTTTTTGTTTGTCACTTTAAAGATACATCTTTCATGTTACATGTAATATTTCAACCCATTGTTTATATATAAATATTGATAAGTGCAGCTTTAACTTCAGCCAAAAAAGAATTTATTAAATATCTATTAGAATTTCTTATAGTAACTAAACAGCAGCTGCAATTGTGAGCTTTAAATCTCATCATAAGAACACTCGATATTGACATTTTATCTCAAGGACCGACACTCACTCTTCTACATGCGCAGGCCTCTTGAGAAGATGGACCACGACAGATACTGTACATCCAAACACACGTCCTCCCAACACAAACATGTTGTTGCCCTGCGACCCATCAGCGCGTACGCAGCCGCGGCACCTAAAAAACCTCCCTGTCCGTGACACACAACAGAGCACCCTGTCTGCTTCCTATCTGGCTTCCTATCGCACTCACAAACACACGCGCGCGCACACACACAAACACTCACAAACACTCAACGCCGCACGTGAAACGCTCCGTACATTCATCTCGCCGCCAGGGCAACAGGCGCCGGTGAGTGCGGCGAACGTGGATGTGTGCGCGGCGCAGAGATGGAGGGATAAAAAGATGATTAAGTGGAGTGTTGGACGGGGATGACAGAGTGTAAGGACTTGGAGGTGGAGGGATGGAGGGGTTGCAGGGTGGAAGAGTGGAGGCGGATGGTTTGTAAGAGTGAGGAGAGGGTGTCTGCTTTATCTCTCCATACAGTTTAAGAGCATTACCATTTATGGTGGAGCTGATGGAATAGTTGCGTGTCTGCCAACTGTGTGACACGGCTCGTAGCCTATTTACTTGGAAAGGTCGATCTTTTCTCTCGCTTTGCATAAGAAACTTCCCCTCGTCTTTACGGCCTGCTCCTCTTCCCTACTTCCTTTTTTCTGAGGCTCTGCTGTCAACCTCTCCGCTCCCTCGGTGAACACCGCTGATGCCAAAATAGCTTGAGGAGAAGTTAAGAGGCGTAGAAAAAGACAGGGGTGTCGAGGGAGACGTAAAATGCATGGTTCCTGTTTTGGAAATTGTTGTTGCTTGTTTTAGTGGAAGCCTTTTAGCTCTGACATGAGTATTGATTCGGGGTGTAGCTGTTATATGGGCACAAAGTGATCCGATGTCACTTTTGGGTCACTTCGTCTATATTTTCCACAAGGCAACGTTTTTTGACTTTATTAACCTTGAGAGCTACTCACTTGTAGATGGTCCTTAAACTTCTGAGTGCTACTCAACAGTGACATATTGCTGTTTGTTTGTGTGTGTGTGTGTGTGTGTGCGTGTGTGTGTGTGTGCGTGTGTGTGTGTGTGCGTGTGTGTGTGTGTGCGTGTGTGTGTGTGTTTGGTCTTTTTTAGTAACGTCTTGAGGAATAGAAGGTTTAATTTGAGGAGGACATATTTTAAAGTCAAGTGCTTAAGGACATATTTTAAAGGGCAGCAGTACGCTCACCCTAAGTGCAGATGTGTGCGGCTGAAACACACTGCCACTCGCAGTGAAACCATAAACTTGAAACTTGAAATTAAAAAAAAAAAAGAAAGAAAACGCTGGCAGCCACTTTGACTTGCATTTCTACTCACAACAAAAACATGGATCCATGAACGAACTGCAGTAATTCAGTTAGCCAACCTTGAATCAAAACGGCATGCTCTTTATTAAATCACTGAAATTCAAGTGAAACCCAGTGATGGTTGACTGCTTGGACTTGCACTTTGGAAGCGTTTTCTGTTGTTGTCTTGTGTCTTTTATTTCAACTGAAGTGTCAGCCAAGCCAAGCTAGGCTGTACAGGCT